GACTATGGACTCCGAGAAACAAACTGAGGGTTCTAGAGGGGAGGGGGCTGGGGGGATGGGTTAGCCTGGTGATGGGTATTAAAAAGAGCACATATTGAATGGAGCACTGGGTGTTATATATAAACAATGAATCATGGAACACTACATCAAGAACTAATGATGTAATGTATGGGGATTAACATAACATAATAATAAAAATAAATAAAAAAAAGAAGATACTGTATTTTGTCAAATGCTCTTTCTGTATCAATTGAGAGGATCATATGGTTCTTGTCTTTACTTCTATTAATGTGGTATATCACACTGATTGATAGGCAGATGTTGAACCACCGCTGCAACCCAGGAGTAAATCCCACTTGGTCATGGTGAATAATCCTTTTAATGTACTGTTGGATCCTATCAGGTACTATATCTTGGTGAGAATTTTGGCATCCATGTTCATCAGGGATATTGTTCTGTAATTCTCATTTTTCAGAAGAAAGAGTAATTAAAGAATTGATCCCATTTACAATTGCACCAAAACCCAAAAGATACCTGGGAATAAACCTAACCAAAGAGATAAGGATGTGTACTCTGAAAACTATAGAACACTTATGAAAGAAATTGAGGAAGACATAAAGAAATGAAAAAAAAAAAAAAACATTCCATGCTCATGGATTGGAAGAACATGCCTATGCTATCCAAAGCAATCTAAACATCCAAAGCAATCCCCATCAAAATACCATCAGTAATTTTCACAGAGCTATAACAAACAATCCTAAAAATTGTATGGAACCAGAAAAGACTCCAAATATCCAAAGGAATGTCGAAAAAGAAAACCAAAGCTGGTGACAACCAATTCCAGACTTCAAGCTATATTACAAAGCTATAATCATCAAATCAGTATGGTACTGGCACAAAAACAGACACATAGATCTATGGCACAGAATAAAGAACCCAGAAATGGACCCTCAACTCTAAGGTCAACTAATCTTCAACAAAGCGGGAAAGACTATCCAATGGAAAAAGAACAGTCTTTACAACAAATGGTGTTGGGAAAATTGGACAGCCACATGCAGAAGAATGAAACTGGACCATTTTTTTACACCATACACAAAACAAACACAAAATGGATGAATGACCTAAATGTGAGACAGGAATCCATCAAAATCCTATAGGAGAACACAGGCAGCAACCTCTTTGACATCAGCCATAGCAACTTCTTGCTAGAGATGTCTTCAAAGCCAAGGGAAACAAAAGCACAAATGACCTCTTGGGACTTCATCAAGATAAAAACCTTCTGGGCGCCTGGGTGGCTCAGATGGTTGAGCGTCTGCCTTCGGCTCAGGTCATGATCCCAGGGTCCTGGGATTGAGTCCCGCATTGGGCTCTCTGCTCCTTGGGAGCCTGCTTCTCCCTCTGCCTCTCTGTCTCTCATGAATAAGTAAATAAAATTTTAAAAAAAATTAAATTAAATTAAAAAAAAGATAAAAACCTTCTGCACAGCAAAGGAAACAGTTGATAAAACCAAAGACAACCTACAGAATGGGAGAAGATATTTGCAAATGTCTTATCAGATAAAGAGCTTGTATCCACGATCTATAAAGAAGTTATTAAACTCAACACCCAGAAAACAAAAAATCTAGCTAAGAAATGGGCAGAAGACATGAACAGACATGTCTCCAAAGAAGACATACAAATGGTCAAAAGACACATGAAAAAATGCTGCATATCCCTTGGCATCAGGGAAATTCAAATCAATACCACAATGAGATACCATATCACACCAGTCAGATTGGTAAAATTAACAACTGAGGAAGCAACAAATGTTGGTGAGAAGGTGGAGAAAGGGGAACCTTCTTACACTGTTGGTGGGAATGCAAGCTGGTACAGCCATTCTGGGAAACTATATAGAGGTTCCTCAAGAAGTTAAAAATAGAACTACCTTACAACCTAGCAATTGCACTACTAGATATTTATCCAAAAGATATAAATTTAGTGATTTGAAGGGGCACCCCAATGTTCATAGCAGCAATGTCCACAATAGTCCAACTATGGAAAGAGCCCAAATGTCCATCAACACATGAATGGATAAAGAAGATGTGGTATGTATGTATGTATAAATGATATGGATGGAAATAGAGGATATTATTGTAAGTGAAATATGTCAGTCAGAGGAAGACAAATACATATGATTTCACTCATATGTGGAATTTACAAAACAAAACAGATGAACATAGGGGAAGGGAGGGAAACATAAAATGAGATGAAATTAGAGAGGGAGACAAACCATAAGAGATCCTTAATTATAGGAAACAATCTGAGGATGGGGGGATGGGGTAACAGGGTGATGGGCATTAAGGAGGGCACGTGATGTAATTAGCACTGGTTGTTATATGCCACTGATGAATCACTGAACCCTACCTCTGAAACTAGTAATACACTATATATTAATTAATTGAATTTAAATAAAATAACAAAAATTTAAAAAAATGATTTAGGGAAATGTTAATGGTATGATTTTAAGTGTAAAATGAGCATATAAATTTAGAACTGTTCATCATGGAGAGATAGAGGTTGGGGGGAGACATAAACATAGTCAGCCATCTTAGTCCTAGTATTTTATTTATACACAAAAGAACAGGAAGGAAATATATAAAATATTTACAAAAGTTATCTCTCTCTGGGTAGGATGTTTTTATGTGATTTTTAGTTTTCTTTTGTATTTTTCTGTGTTTTTCTCCAAAATTGCCTACAATAGAAGTGCTATTATTATAATTAGAAAAAAAATAATGTTTTAGAAAAGATAACAGGTTTGTCAGAAAGTAACTTCTGTAGCTCCATCCATGTCATTGCAAATGACAAGTTTTTGTTATTTTTTATGGCTGAGTAATATTCCATTTTGTGTGTGTGTGTGTGTGTGTGTGTGTGTGTGTGTACTACATTGTGGATGGAGCTAAAGCGTATTAAGCTAAGCGAAATAAATCAGAGAAAGACAAATACCATATGATTGCATTCATATGTGGAATTTAAGAAACAAAACAAATGATCATAGGGGGATAAAAGAGAGAAAGAAACAAAAAGAGACCTTTTAACTATAGAGATCAAAGCAGTTGTTACCAGAGGGGAGGTGGTCTGGTGGAGGGGTTAAATAGGTGATGGGATTAAGGAGTAGAGTTGTTGTGATGAGCATATGGTGTTGTGTATAGATGTGGAATCACTAAATTGTACACCTGAAATTAATATTGCACTGTATGTTAACTAACTGGAATTTAAATTAAAACTTTAAACAAAATTTTAAAAAAATAATGTAATTTCTGGAAGCTTTTTTATTAGAAGCAGATTCTTCAAGTTACAGGTTATTAGGGCATTGTGTGGGAAATATAACACTGGAACCAGACAGAATGGTGGGGATCTTCTAGTTGATCTAGGGTCTGCATAAAGCACATTAAGACAATATCTTTAATAGGTCTAACAACCTAAGTGGTATCAGAGGCTGCTGCTGCCTGCCACTGAGAGAAGAAGCCCAGTAGCATTTCTGTACCACTCTACATCTTGTCCAACTGCAGTACTCATATGCTAAAAGCTATTTGGCTTCAATGGGACTCAAAGTGAATTATTAATATGCACTCTACCCAAAACCTGAGGAGAGAACTAGGATTAGACTAAGTAGTGTCTTTCTGATCACCCTTCCTTATCTCTAAACCATTTAAATCCCCAACACTGAAGGAGAGAAGAATCCATTTGCACCAGGACTCAATGGGTAGGCCCATTTTTCTAGAGGCAGTTTCTACCAGCTTGAGCATACATGTGTTTTAATATAAAATTCTACTCTCATTAAGAGTGGGGCAAAAACAGAAACTGTGTCTTCTCAAGGAATTACAAAGCCTGGCTGTTTGGTATTTTTATGCTAGAATGGCAGGACCATGAGCAAGAGACCAGATAGTACTTTGTAAACCACAAAGCTATAGTCAATGGCACCTAAATCCCACAGTTCGAAAGCAGCATGAAAAATCTCTCTGCTAGTTATATACCCTCTGGAAAAGGGGAACAACCTATTTAAAGCCAAAAAAAATTATGGTTTAGTGTGACTGAATCATGCAAGTGATCATGGCTTGAGACCCAGTTATATTTTCTACAATTTATTTTAAAATGCTTTCATACAGAAAGTGTGATATATACATGTGCATTAATTTTAATCTATGCTCTAGGGGCATTTAGTTAACATCTGAAGTGCCTTAATCAGGCATACACACTCAAGAGGTGATTTGTTAACACATTAAACACTCAGAAGTCCTTGCTCCAGAGACCACTACTCCCAGCAGTTCAGTCATTTTAATGCAGGAGGCCTAATTAGCCTAACACATGTTAAAAATAAATTTTCATTGGTAAAATGAATGTTATTCAAATGTGAACTAGTCACAAATGTCTTACAGGCTCTTTAGCCCTCACAAGACCTGGGTATAAAAATCCAGTGAGTCCTATAGCTTTTACCCTTCAGAAGAAAGCCTTAAGCTCAAGATTGAAAACAGGTGTTATGTCTTGTTCCCCATCAGAGGATTTTGTCAACAGACTCTAACTAGAAAGTTAGTTGCAGCCTGTTGCTATAATATCACCAACTCTTCCTTGACTAACCTCTTCACAGAAGATGCTGCCATGTATCTAAGAACAAAACTGGGACTTTACTGAGATTACAGAACAGGTTGTATGACTGCTTTTGTGTTTGTTTGTTAATAAATGTTTGTATGTTTGGGAGAATTGAGACTGAGGTTTGCTTCCAGTGTAATAGTCTTATCTAGTCATGAGACTGTAAGGGAGGCCAAATTATAACTCTCACTTAACTCTGACTAGAAGAAACTACTGATATCTGCCACAAAGGACCTAATAATAGGAAACCACCAAAATGGATTAGGTCAGTTTGCAACAGAAATCTTCCCTCTGCTTCTAGAAAAATGAAAACTAATTCAAATCCTCTATGTCCTTCATAGCCATATTCTTCTTTCTCCTCTCAGGTCACTTACCAATTTTTTCATCTTCCTGTACCATTTTCCTCTCTTCTCTGAAAGCCCTGAGCCAGCGTATCTTCTCCTCCAGCTTTTTGGCAAAGAATAGATGTACCTCCTCAGTCTCCTTGTTGTGAAGCTTGAAAGCATTTTTCATGCTGACATTAAAGTCATCATCTCTGCCATCTTCAATGTCAACTACCTCATATTTATCCATGTCAATGCGGCCTTTGTAGTACAGAATGTCTCTTCGGATCAGGTCCTAGGTAGGAAGGAAGAAAAGGTTTTTAACTGGAGGTATGTCGACAGTAGGTACCATGAAAGTTGGCTCATGGGCACAGCAGGACGCTAAGACTTCCATTGTTTTGGAGTACCAAATAGGGGTTGGTTTGGTCAAATGTAGGCAGGTTAGCTTAGCAGTATGACACTGATAGTTTGGTTAACTAGATGCTCTTAGAGAAAGCCTTTGTCCTACATCCAAGGGCTCTGTCTCAGACCCCAGCATCAATCCTTATGTGTTTGTAAGACACATATATGGGGATTAGGATGCAGTAAGCCACACAAGCATTGCGAGCATGGGCCTTTTCTTTTCTAAAATATTTGCAAGCCTTCCAGAAGTATGAAATAAGCTGGATGTTTGCCTGGGGGGTACCTGGGAATTCAAGCAGGCTAAGGAGACCTGCAATCAGAGTGGAGATGAGTGGTAATAGTAGCAAGGTGGCCACAGGCTGCTGGCCAGGAAGGATTACATGGAAAGGGTTGAACATTTAGCATTCTGGGGAATTTTGGAGAAGGCCTAGTCTGGCAGGAGAAGGGGGGGTAAGAGTGAATAAAAAGCTTCATATATTGGGCGCCTGGGTGGCTCAGTTGGTTGAGCGACTGCCTTCGGCTCAGGTCATGATCCTGGAGTCCCGGGATCGAGTCCCGCATCGGGCTCCCTGCGCAGCAGGGGGTCTGCTTCTCCCTCTGCCCTCTTCTTTCTCGTGCTCTCTGTCTCTCATTCTCTCTCTCTCAAATAAATAAATAAAAATCTTTAAAAAAAAAGCTTCATATATTGACTGAATGAATCTCACAAATCTTACTGCATGAGAAAAAGAAAAGTTGTAGATGGATACAAACTGTATATTGCCTATCCTTTATTATTGTTTTACTCTCTGGTATATAGAATTGGATTAATACTTTCAGTCCATGAGACACTCATCATTAGTCCACACAAGGTGCTCTTATTTCTCTATTTATTTACTTACTTACTTTTAATAATACACTAAGTTTTGGTGAACCTGCCACCCAATTTAAAAGCTATGATGCTGAACAGACATTTCTCCAAAGAAGACATAAAAATGGCTAATAGACACATGAAAAAAAATGCTCAACATCACTTGGGTATCAGGGAAATAAAGATCAAAACCACAATGAGATACCACATCACACCAGTCAGAATGACTAAAATTAACAAGTCCGGAAACAAAAAATGTTGGTGAGGATGTGGAGAAAGGGAAACCCTCTTACACCGCTGGTGGGAATGCAAGCTGGTACAGCCACTCTGGAAAACAGTATGGAGGTTTCTCAAAAAGTTAAATATAGAGCTACCCTATGACCTAGGAATTACACTACTAGCTATTCACCCAAAGGATATAAACATAGTGATCTGAAGGGGCACCTGCACCCCAATGTATATAGCAGCAATGTACACAATAGCCAAACTATGGAAAGAGCTGAGATGTCCATCAACAGATGAATGAATAAAGAAGATATGGTATGTACACACACACACACAATGGAATATTCCTCAGCCATCAAAAAAAATCTTAACCATTTACATCGACGTGGATGGAACTAGAGGATATTATGCTAACCAAAATAGGTCAATCAGAGAAAGATAATTATCATATGATTTCATTCATGTGGAATTTAACAAAACAGAGGATCATAGGGGAAGGGAGGGAAAAATAAAATAAGATGAAATCAGGGAGGGGGACAAACCATAAAAGACTTTTAACTATAGGGAACAATCTGAGGGTTGCTGAAGGGGAGGTGGGTGGGGGTATGGGGTAATTGGGTGATGGGCATTAAGGAGGGCACATGATGTAATTAGCACTGGGTGTTATATGCCGCTGATGAATCACTGAACTCTACTTCTGAAATTAATAATATACTATATGTTAATTAATTGCATTTAAATAAAATAAAATATTAAAAATTAAAAAAAAATTTATAAAGCTGTGATGCCACAGCAAACTAAAATCCCATGCTCATCACATCCCTGGTTTCTTTTCTGTACAGTTTTATCTCATCTCTATCCCACTTATATGAGGTTTAAAAACCTACAAAGAAATGCCACATAATATTTAGGTATGCATACATATGTACAGAAATTATACAAAAATATGATAATGACACATGCCAAATTCAAGAGAGTACAGAGAGGAGAATGGGAAGATGGAAGGAAGGAAAAGAAAGGGAAGGAGCAGAGAGGGAGAGGAGGAATTTGTAATGTATTTGTATTTGTATTTGTAATGAATTATTTCTTTTTTTTCTTAAAGATTTTATTTATTTATTTGACAGAGAGACACAGCGAGAGAGGAACACAAGCAGGGGTAGTGGGAGAGGGAGAAGCAGATTGCCTGCTGAGCAAGGAGCCTGATGCAGGGCTTGATCCCAGACCCTGGGATCATGACCTGAGCCTAAGGCAGACACTTAATGACTGAGCCACCCAGGCGCCCCTGTAATGAATTATTTCTTAAGTTGGATAGTAAGTACATAAGTACCCATTATATAATTTACGTATCTTTTTGAATGTCAAATATTTTATGAATTAAAAAAAAAACAGAGGGATGGATGAAATGACCTGTGGACCTGTGGAATGTAAGGTCTGATTAAGTAACTATCTCTCAGAGTGGTCTTTCAGCCCCTCCTCCTCTTAGCACTGCCTTCGACTCCCCCCCTGAGGGCACATTGTAGAGAGCAAAATGGAGTCTCTCATGTCAAGCAGGAGCCTGTGTCATGCAATGATGCAAGTAGTTAAAGGTACTTCAGCTATAAGATATCGCTGGGACCAGCATCAGCTGACGCCCCAGAACTGGTAATGAGCAGAACCATAGGAGGTCTGCAGGGACCCTGGACCAATTAAATTCCTTTAAAAAGGGGAGGATTTTTGCAGCAAACTGTCAGACTCTTCAGACATGACCTCTCTATGTCTGACCACTTAAAAAAGGCAACTGCCACTGAACACTGTGCCAGACTGATCTCTGAAGATCCAAGATCCTTCACTGCTTGAACATAATAAGCAGTAAGTGCTGAGAGCTGACCAAGACCAGACTGAGGCCTTATCTCAACTGCACACCCACAGACTGACTTCCTATATCCCTTCTGTTATCTTATTTGTTGTGTAGTTTGTCTTATGTCCTGCTCTGTGTGCTGTGTAAGAAGCCAAGTTTAATCACATGGTGAAATGTCATTGGGTTTGGAATCCTGAACCTGCTTTAGAACTGTGATTAACTTTGCTTTATGATTGAATAAAGCTGACACTGTGGAAAGACACAACTCGTGTGTGCACCTTCATAGCATGCCCATGACAAACATCGTGTCTCGGGACATGTGGTATGGCTAAGTCTGGCCAAGAAGGTCCCATGAGCCCTGTCCTGACAGATGTCTTCTACTAGCCAAATCATTCTGACCAATTCTCCCTCCTCTCTGCTTATATTTGGCCTTTTAGACAATTTGACAGAATCAGAAATGCTCATTATTTTTTATTAACATTACACAGTTTGGTTAAACTATTCCCATTCTGCTGAATTGCCTTGCATGCCTCACTTCTCAGTTGCAGGCTACCTGCAAAGAATTTGCCTTTGCAATCCTAACTCTTCACACTGTATGGTAAACTGGGCTTTTTGGTATGTCTGGGGAAGGCTGTCTTTAAAAATTCCCAACATAGCTCTGTCAATCTCAAAGTCCAAGGCTGTGAAATATGGGTGTTGTTGAATTGATTTGCAAAAAAGCAACCTCTACATGTTCTTGTCCCTCCCATAATAATTGTCGATATAAATAGGCTGTGCTGAGTACAGATAGGTTCTGATCTGTTGAGTGCTCCTGGCATCAAGTTCACAGGAGAGGAAAAGGTCAGCTATACAGAAGGGGCCAATGTTGCTCCAGGCCTAATTCAGACCCTGGGTTCCTTTTACCAAGCTCAAAATGGACAAGCTCAATCCTGGCCAAAAGAATGGGGCAGTTCCCATGCACTGACTTCCACAATCCTCAGGAATACTTTGTGAGACATGTGGATAAAAAGCGTGCCCTGTCAGTCCAATATAACCACAAAAGCAGGACAAGCTAAGGAGAATGGATTGATATGATCTAGTTTGATCTCATAAAGGCCTGAAACCTGCCTTAAAATACTTAATACAAATACTCATAGACCTGGGAAGCCAGATCTGGACCACACAGCTAATAGGTGGGTACCCACCTGACTAGAATAGGCAGGCTTAACTCCCACTATTCTTTTTTTTTTTTTATGTTATGTTAATCACCATTCATTACATCATTAGTTTTCGATGTAGTGTTCCACGATTCACTGTTTGCATATAACACCCAGTGCTCCATGCAGTACGTGCCCTCTTTAATACCCATCACCAGGCTAACCCATCCCCCCAACCCCTCCCCTCTAGAACCCTCAGTTTGTATCTCAGAGTCCATAGTCTCTCATGGTTCGTCTCCCCCTCTGATTTCCCCCACTTCATTTTTCCCTTCCTGTTATCGTCTTCATTTTTTTTTAACATATAATGTATTATTTGTTGCCGAGGTACAGATCTGTGATTCAACAGTCTTGCACATTTCACAGTGCTCACCATAGCACATACCCTCCCCAATGTCTAACACCCAGCCAACCCATCCCACCCATCCCCAACCACTCCAGCAACCCTCAGTTTGTTCCCTGAGATTAAGAATTCCTCATATCGGGGCGCCTGGGTGGCTCAGTCATTAAGCGGCTCCCTTTGGCTCAGGTCATGATCCCAGGATCCTGGAATCGAGTCCCGCATTGGGCTCCCTGCTTGGCAGGAAGCCTGCTTCTCCCTCTCCCACTCCCCCTGCATGTGTTCTTTCTCTCGCTGTGTCTGTCAAATAAATAAATAAAATCTTAAAAAAAAAGAGAATTCCTCATATCAGTGAGGTCATATGATACATGTATTTCTCTGATTGACTTATTTTGCTCAGCATAATACCTTCCAGTTCCATCCACGTCGTGCAAAATGGCAAGATTTCGTG